AAAAAGATATATGAAATCAGATCCATTAAATTCTAAGATTTGATTTACATTTCTAATTAAAATTGTTTTTGATCATACGTATAGATAATTATATAAAAATTCCAAAATTCTAAAATTTCAAATACATACAAAAACAATCATATGTAAATTTTAAATTTGTGAATATTAAAATTTTATATTTTAATTACATATATTCACCGGTCGTATCCTAGTTTACTATTATTATTTATGTATATAGATTATAACAGTTATCCAATGCACATAATAGTAGTATTGAGCTATGTTAACATCCTTATTTTGAATTCACGTGTTAAATACCAATCTCAGAACACAATCATATTAACTTTTACCACAATCTTGGGTGACTAAAGATAGATTTTGTACCATATCTGAAAAGAACAAAACCAATAACCAATCAATAACGTCTACTTTTTTGGTCTATTGAATTCAACAAAGAACAGATGAACTTGCAACAAACAAAAAGCATTACTCAAACAAGAGAAAGTAAGTTTTGGCTTGTGAAAGAACAAACAAACTTCACAATCCTTGAGCTTTACTCCGTTCTTCAGCCATTCTCTTCTTGATCTCATGTGCTGCATTGAAAATCCCCATAGTTGGTTGGTTACACACAAAGCACTTCTTGTTCTTCGCGTGATGCTGCATCATTACATAAACCAAAACCTCTTAGTTTCCACAGACCAAACACACAAAATCATCTTAACTGGCACTTAAATAAACTCATCCTCATACCTTTAAAGCACAGTGCTCGCAGAAGTAGTGCTTGCACTTAGTGACAACTGGATCAACGAAACCCTCTCTGCAAATGAAGCAAGCAAAGGGCAATGCATCTTCGTCTTCCTCACTGTCAGCTTCATCATCATCTTCATCTTCAACACCCATAGCTTTATTTCTCTTCCTGACTTTCTCAGCTTCTTCCCACTCTTTCTCAATCTGCCATCCAGGTTTGTAGTCTCCACGGTCATGCAGAAACTTACAAGAATCTCCATACCCACAGTATCCAGTTTCTTTGTAATCCTTGCATATATCAGGCTGGTAATCGAACCTAGCCGAGACTCTGATGTGCGCAGAAGCTCTCAAGGGCCCGTGTGAGCCTCCAGCTTTCTCGCTGGAGATGGTTTGCTCTCTTCTAAAACCAGCTTTGTGATCAGTATATCCATGAATTCCAGTATAGAGCTTCTCATCAGAACCCTTGTCCTTTTTATTCCCTTTCAAAGCTTCGTCTGCTCGCTTAAGAACTCTCTCACGGATGGCTCGTGCGTCTTGGTTGAAGTCGGTCTCGGTCTCAAGAGTTGCAGTGGCTCTGCTGTCGTTTTGAACCTGGATCTCCTTGGACGAATCGTAGTGAAAGACGACGGCTTTCTCTGGAGCCTGGCTCGTCGTGGTAGCAGAGATCTTGGAGGGTCCAGAGGAGAAAAACAACTTGTTATCGGGTTTAGCAACTTTCTTGAGGTTGTTCAATATAGAGGTTTCGCTTTTGGAATCTGCGTCTTCTTCATCAGCGTCAGCCGCTGGTCTTTTTCTTATGTTTTTAGCTTTAGTTGGCTTCTTGAAGAAAGTGCACACTGCAAACAGAAGCATCATAAAAAAAAAATTAGTGCTCCAGTTTTGTAAATGAAGTTTTATTTAAAGCTAACAACGAAGAAGAGGAAGAAGATACACAGCGAAACAAGTTTGAAAGGTCTAAGAAAATCAAGTTTAGCATTAGTGAGGAGAAGATACCTTGCTGAGACTGAGATTCTTCTGTGACAGAAGCAGCAGCAGCAGCAGGTTGAGAATCTTGTTGCTGAGATGTTTTGGGTTCTTCAACAGAATCTGACATTGTTAGAAATAAGATTATGTACACACACCCCCTTGAAATTTGCGCCCTTTCCTGCATTATAACGCCATAGTAGAGTTACTTCTCTTACTAATCCTAATAAGTCTATCAAACATACGAAACATAAACCTGCGCAACCTAATTCTTCAATCCACGCAATAAAAAAAAACATAATACCCAAAATAATCAGTGTTAAGAAAACCCTAAGCTTTACTTGACTAAACACCAATTCCATTCACAGGCATATGCCGAAAACAACCGCTAACAGATAAATTCACAGAGGAAAAAAAAACACAGTTCTAACGTTTTTTAATTGAAAGCTCGACGAACACACTAAGGATCAACAGAAGAGAAGCGGAAGTTAGAAAGAAGGATATAATACCTTACGCAACCTCGGAGATGCTCGCCGGTGAAAGAAGAACCACGAAGGCCGCCGTTCGCACGTTTTTATGATCTGAGACGGTCTAATCAAAATAAAGGGAAGAGGAGAAATAAACTTGTAAGGAACCGGATATAAGGCCGGTGGTTTAGTTACGCGGCCCATTATTCTTAATGGCCCAATCCTTCAATCTTGTTTTTTTCTTTTCTTTTGTCAACAATCTTGTTTTTTTTTTCCCTACTGGCTACTCACTGACTTTCACCAAGTCTTCTTCACTTATAACATTTTTTTTTTTGATAACTCAGGTGTCCGGGGTTTATTTAGAGACCCGACTATCCCCCGAAGAAGTCCTGAAGGCCAAACGAAAACCATATTAAATCCGCTGTGGCCGGGCCTTGAACTCGTGATGGCGGACACCTCAGCCGAGGTTCCTTTACTACCAGACCACGAGGCCCGGTTCACTTATAACATCTTTTAAGAAGGGGAAGATGTATCATTGTGCTTGGAGATATATTTTGATTACTTTTGATTTCTTTTCTTTTCGTAACGTATTGGCTGATCCGAAAATACTATGGACTGATTATTATATCGGTTGACTCGAGTTTTAATTTGGTTAAATATTAATTTTAAGCTAATGATCGTTAGAGATTAGGCCACATGGATAATTATATTTACAAAAATTAACGAGTGTAAAGATAAATACTATCTTTTTGGGGGCCTGTTGGAAAATATTTAAGGAATTTCTCTACAAATTGGCCATTTCGTTTTGGAAATATATTTGTCTGTATCTAGCTAGTAGAGGATCATGGGAGGAGCCAGCTTTTACGTGCTCCATTTTCCACCGTCGCCTTTGTACTCAGATTAAGAATTTGAGCGGTTGCGATTCGTCGGAGCACCCATTTTATATGGGACCCATGTGAACCATGGTCCCGCTTCTTGTCTCTTCTTTTCTACTTGTGACCTCTGTAGTACTGGACGACAAGCTCGCCTCCATTTTCTTCACATAAAAATCTTTTTATTTTATTTTCCCTTAAAATGATAATATCTCTTTTTTAATTATATTTTCCTTACCAAAACATATTTAGCAAACCTTCTAAGTAGTCCCTAATTAAAATGTGATCAAAATATTAACCAGAAGCTTGTGTTTGTCTGAACTATTTACCACCTTTGATTATATGCAAACATACAAAAGTATATTTACTTTATATCATTCTTGTTTATTAAATTTATATATAATTCTGTAATAAGACTTACAGACAGAAAAATGTTTATATTAAAATATATTTTAGTCTTAAAGGGAGATTTTTCAACTAGCATTTGAAAAAAAAAAACTTGGTGAGCCATATGCATACCTGCTATAACTTGATTTCTAAGAATACTAAATAAAATGGTGCAATCATTAAGGAAAAAAAACACACGTAAATGTAATTTAACATTCATAATAGAATAACTTAGAAATTACAAATTTTTTTAATACAAAATAGAATTTGGGAAAAAATGGCTCCGACTTAGAGAAGGTAAGAAAATATAGTGATTCTGTGTGGTATTTCAAAATAGAAAGGAGCATAATCGAAAAAAAGGAATGATAAGAAAAGAAGTAAGACAATTGACAATTCCCTCAAGGCCCATTAACGGCTTAAAGGCCATAAATTGTAATTTCTTTAATACAAAATAGAATTTGGGAAAAAATGGCTCCGACTTAGAGAAGGTAAGAAAATATAGTGATTCTGTGTGGTATTTCAAAATAGAAAGGAGCATAATCGAAAAAAAGGAATGATAAGAAAAGAAGTAAGACAATTGACAATTCCCTCAAGGCCCATTAACGGCTTAAAGGCCATAAATAGCTAAGAACTAATTCTGAAAGATGCAAAATTTCAGTACAGAATAAAAGCCTAATAAACCCTTGAAAGAGGAGATAATTACAGTAAAATACCATGAACGTCCATAAAATGCCATCCTACCCATCTGACTATTGAATCTCCGCCCTTGCTTCCTTATCACTCACAAACTTTTACTATCTCTATCTTTTTTCTCTCGCACCATTCCTCCATGAAAGCTTACAGCTTCAGCTTTTCTTCGCACCACTAAACTTTCTCATAACTCTTTCTATCATATTTTTTTACCCATTCCACTTTTTAGATTTCATATTTCGCTGGTGGAAGCTTAAGCTCATTAAACTAGCTACTGCTCTACCCATCACTGGTAACTACCGAATTTTGATTATTATTTTCATGTTCAACACCAGATAACTTAATTAGCGTTATATTCAGTTTGTTATGGGATTTGGATAAGATTATGAACATATAGTTTGCACATTTGTTTGTATGTCAGACAATGGTATTGTTTAAAGTTTTAACTAAGCAGTTCAGTTTATTTTCAGTTTATTTGGTTCTCTTTCAATAAAAATAAAACAAAAACAAAACAAAAAAAGCTCGAGATATGGCTCCCAAGAACAACCGTGGAAAGACAAAAGGAGACAAGAAGAAGAAGGAAGAGAAAGGTATCACCAATAGTGAAAACCTTATCTATATCAATTTCAATTAAAAAAAATAAGTTGTTGAATAACTTAATTTAATAATTAATTTATAGTTTACATATGAATCATGGTTTACGATTTATATGCAGTTCTTCCGGTTATGGTGGATGTCATTGTGAACCTTCCGGACGAGACGGAGGCTATTTTGAAGGTTTGTGTGACTCTTTTCCTCGCATCATTTTCGAATTGTGTTGTTATTTCTCATATTTCTTGCGTGTTTAACAACTTTTTTTTTGGTAGCGATTTCTTTGTGAAATTTGTTTTTGACTTATAACTACAAATTACAAACCTTTTTCTGTTTCTTTGTTTTAATACTTTCACGCACCTAGCTGGTTTCTATTACATTAGTTTCCTGACTGTATAATTGTAAAATTCTGAAACTTTTTCTTAGTATATTTCAAGTTTTGTTTTTGATATATAAACTCCCAATGTGCATGGTCTATTTTATTTTCTTTGATTTTGTTGTTGGGATAAGGTGCGAAAGAATACACGTTACTATAAAATTTGATAGTTATACATGCTATATTATTTTTTTTTGTTTTTCTAAAAATCATTTTCAATTGACTTAGATTTTTCTTGAATTTTTTTTATCATTATTTGAACGTGTATATAAATACAAAACTGTGTGTAACACACAAATTCGGCTATTTAACTAATTTAATTATTTCAGATTTTGGTCAATAAATAACGTATACGTTATATAGACAGTGAAATATGTATTGAAAACAAGTGTATATACATAAAAGTATCGTAAAAACACGTATAACTAAAATTCACATTTTTGTCGAATATTTGTTAAAAGTATTTATTTTATGATGTAATATTAGTGGTATATATAAGCAGTTATTTCAGGCATAGGTTACAGATGTCTAGTATCTTAGAAGGAAATATCATCAAAATGTAGATTTAATAGAGAAACACGTATGTCTGAAAACAGGGCATATCAACGGACAGGATCATAGATGTTCGCCGGCTTTTATCCGTTAACTTCGACACGTGCCATGTCACCAACTATTCTCTCTCGCATGAGGTAAAAAAAATCCGAATGAAATTTTGAGTGGAAGTTTCTAAATCATTTTCACGTTTATTGTTAGTTACTTGATAATGTTGGATGGTCCAGAGATACTCATATTTATGAGATTTCCATATTTATTGTGGAATCTCATAGGGTCTGAATACCAAAGTGAGCAAAAAAGTAAATGAAAATGACTTGTGTAACGTCTGAGGAAAAATTGTGAAGTGTCATATGGCCTAAAAATTGCTTGTCTGGACTTTTCTTTCTCTTTTCTACAAGTACCAGAATATGTATAAAAGTAGTAAAAAAGTGACTGTGGTAAAAGTACTCAATCCATGTCTGTCGTTTACAGGTAAGAGGATCGCAGTTAAAAGATACAGTGGATGTTTCGGCGCTTAAACCGTGTGTTCTCACGTTAACAGAAGGTAAAAATAGACTCCGTTAACGTGGCGCTTGTTTTTAATCAGACGCCGTTAGCGCGCCGTAACGGATATTAAAACGTGGCCATATATCACTTAAACGATGTCGTATTAATTATATGCCAAAAACGACGTCACTTGAGCATTTTCGCGCTTCTTCTAATTAGGTTGCAATTCTTTTTTTAACTTACAGAGGACTAGGTGTTTTGCCCGCACATGCGGACTTAATTTTCTTACGAATGTTTATTATTTTTTGTTTTATTAATTCTAAAATAATATTATAAGTTATTTTTATAGTTTTAAAAATCTAAATCAAACATTAAGATATTTTTATATGAATATATATTTAGATTATGGATAATTCTTATCATTATTATTAATTTAAATCATTTATCTAAATCAATTTAAAAAAACATCAAAATAAATGATTATTTGCATCCAAAAAATTCGACCTAAAACATTAAACTTTTTTACATGATAAAGTTATTTACAAACTAATTTTTCATTTGAAACTTTGAAAATTTAAAGTCTATTTCATTTCTTCTTAATTGATAAAAAAAATTTAAAAAATTGAATTGATAAATTTACATTCAAAAATTGATCTTACAGAAAGAATAACATTAGTTTAAATAATAATACAATATATTTGAATTTATTTTTGTCAAACACGTATTTTCTTAAGGTTTAACTATATAAAATATAAATATAAATTTAATTTAACGTGTGAGTTCAGAGGCGAAAAATAACTTCACAGATATATATCA